GCAAGTGAGCTCCAGGTAAGTAGTGCAAGTAGGGTACCAGGGAGGTAGGGCAGGTAAGCGTTCTTTAAGAAAATAATATGAGCTCCAGGTAAATGAGGCAAATTAACGCCAAGTGAGTGCTAGGTAAGTGACTTAGGTGGGCGTCATGTAAGTTGGACAAGTAAGCGCCAGCTATGTAAGGTAAATGAGCGCCAGGAAAGTTGGGCAAGGAAGCGCCAGGTAAGAAGTAGATAATCGTTAGGTAAGTTGGGCACGTAAACCCCAGGTAAGTAGGACAAATGAGCGCCAGGTAAGGCAATTAAGCACCGGGTAAGCAGGGCAAATGAGTGCCAGGTAAGGCAAGTAAGCACCAGGTAAGTAGGGTAAATAAGCGTCAAGTAAGTTGGGCAAGTAAGCGCCAGGTATGTTAGGAAAACAAATGCCATGTAAGTAGGGCAAATCAGTGCCAGGTAAGGTAAATATGCGCCAGGCAAGTAGGGCAAATAAGCGCCTGTTAATTGGGTAAGTGAGCACCAGGGAAGTAAAACGTCGGCACCAGGGAGGTAGGGCAAGTAAACATTATGTAAAAAAAAAAAAAAAAAAAAAAAAAAAAAATCAAATGAGCCCCAAGTAGGGCAAATTAGCATCAAGTAAGTGGTAGGTAATTAGAGCAAAATAGAAGCAGGTAAGTGGAGTAGGTGGGCGTCAGGTTAGTTGGGCAAGTAAGCGCCAGATAAGTAAGGCAAGTGAACTCCTGGTAAGTAAGGCAAGTAAGCGCCAGGTGAGTAGGGAAAATGAGCGGCAGGTAAGAAGGGGAAGTGAGCTGCAGGTAAGTAGGGCAAGTGAGCGACAGGTAAGTAGGGCAAGTGAGTACTAGGTAAGTAGGGCAAGTGAGTGCTAGGTAAGTAGTGAGTGCCAGGTAAGTAGGGTAAGTGAGTGCCAGGTAAGTAGGGCAAGTGAGTGCCAGGTAAGTAGGGCAAGTGAGCGCCAGGTAAGTAGGGCAAGTGAGCGCCAGGTAAGAAGGGCAATTGAGTGCCAGGTGAGTAGGGCGAGTGAGCGCCATGTAAGTAGGGTAACAGGGAGGTAGCACAGGTAAGCGTTCTTAAGAAAATAATGTGAGCTCCAGGTAAGGTAAATTAGCGCCAAGTAAGTGGTAGGTAAGTAGAGCAAGTTAACACCAGGTAAGTGAAGTAAGTGAGGTAGGTAGGGATAATTAGTTCCAGGTAAATAGGGCAAGTAAGCGCCAGGTAGGTAGGGCAAATGAGCGCGAGGTAAGGTTAGTAAGCGCCAGGTAAGTTTGGCAAGTAAACGTCAGGTAAGTAGGGTAAGTTACCACCAGGTAAGTAAATCGTGGACACCAGAGAGGTAGGGCAGGTAAGGGTTACGTAAAGAAGAAAAAAAATCAACTGAGCCCCAGGTAAGTAGGGCAAATTAGCGCTGAGTGCTAGGTAAGAAGGGCACTCACTTATAACAGGTGAGTTAGGTGGGCGTCAGGTAAGTTGGGCAAGTAAGCGCTAGGTAAGTAAGGCAAATGAGCGCCAGGTAAGTTGGGCAAGTAAGTGCCACGTAAGTATGTCAAGTGAACCCCAGGTAACTCAGGCAATTAAGCGCCACGTAAGCGCCAGGTAGTAGGGGAAGTGATCGACACGTAAGTAAAGCGTGGGCAACAGGGAGGTAGGGCATGTAAGCGTTATGTGAGATAATCAACTGAACCCGAAGTAACTAGGGCAAATTAGCAAGGCAAGTAGAGCAAAATAGTACCAAGAGCTATAGGTAAGCAATGTAAGTGCCAGATAAGGAAGGTGAGCGCTAGGTAAGTAGGACATGTATGTACCCGGTAAGGTAAGTGAGCGCCAGGTAAGTATTTCAAGTGAGCGCCAGGTAAGTAGGCAAGTAGCCAGGTAAGTATTTCAAGTGAGCGCCAGGTAAGTAGGGCAAGTGAGGGCCAGGTAAGTAGGGCAAGTGAGGGCCAGGTAAGTAGGGCAAGTGAGGGCCAGGTAAGTAGGGTAAGTGAGCTCCAAGTAAATAGTGCAAGTAGTGTACCAGGGAGGTAGGGTAGGTAAGCGTTCTTTCAGAAAATAATATGAGCTCCAGGTAAATAAGGCAAATTAGCGCCAAGTGAGTGCTAGGTAAGTGATTTATGTGGGCGTCATGTAAGTTGGGCAAGTAAGCGCCAGCTATGTAAGGTAAATGAGCGCCAGGAAAGTTGGGCAAGGAAGCGCCAGGTAAGAAGTAGATGATCGTTAGGTAAGTTGGGCACGTAAGCCCCAGGTAAGTAGGACAAATGAGCGCCAGGTAAACTTGCCAGTTAAGGCAAGTAAGCACCGGGTGATCAGGGCAAATAAGCCCCAGGTAAGGCAAGTAAGCACTAGGTAAGTAGGGCAAATAAGCGTCAAGTAAGTTAGGCAAGTAAGCGTCAGGTATGTTAGGCAAGCAAATGCCATGTAAGTAAAAGATTTAAAAAGATGTAGTTTAAATTCCATTTGTTACAATGGATATTCTTTGCTGTGACATACTGTCTGTTTTATTTTGCTAAAATCTCCCCCTGTGTGCAAGGAGTAGCCGGGGTTACCACTCACTGGCCGGGCGTGGGATTGAACGCAGGTCCACAAGATTGGTAGACCAGCACTTTACCGCTGCGCCAGCACAGCAAATCAGTGCCAGGTAAGGTAAATATGCACCAGGCAAGTAGGGCAAATAAGCGCCTGTTAATTGGATAAGTGAGCACCAGGGAAGTAAAACGTCGGTACCAGGGAGGTAGGGCAAGTAAGCGTTATGTAAAAAAAAAAAAAAAAAAAAAAAAAAAAATCAAATGTGCCCCAAGTAGGGCAAATTAGCCTCAAATAAGTGCTAGGTAAGTAGACCAAATTGAAGCAGGTAAGTGAAGTAAGTGGGCGTCAGGTTAGTTGAGCAAGTAAGCGCCAGGTAAGTAAGGCAAGTGAACTCCAGGTAAGTAGGCAAGTAAGCACAGGTGTAGGGATAATGAGCGGCAGGTGAAGTGGCGGCAGTAAGTAGGGCAAGTGAGTGCCAGGTAGTAGGACAAGTGAAGTGCCAGGTAAGGTAGGGTAAGTGAGTACCAGGTAAGTAGGCAAGTGAGTGCCAGGTAAGTAGGGCAAGTGAGCGCCAGGTGAGTAGGGCAAGTGAGCGCCAGGTAAGTAGGGCAAGTGAGCGCCAGGTGAGTAGTGCGAGTGAGCGCCAGGTAAGTAGGATACCAGGGAGGTAGCACAGGTAAGCATTCATAAGAAAATAATGTGAGCTCCAGGTAAGGTAAATTAGCGCCAATTAAGTGAGTGCTAGGTAAGTAGGGCAAGTTAACACCAGGTAAGTGAAGTGAGGTAAGTAGGGATAATCAGTGCTAGGTAAGTAGGGCAAGTAAGCGAAAGGTAGGTAGGGCAAATGAGCGCGAGGTAAGGTTAGTAAGCGCCAGGTAATTTGGGCAAGTAAACGTCAGGTAAGTAGGGTAAGTTACCACTACGTAAGTAAATCGTGGACACCAGAGAGGTAGGGCAGGTAAGGGTTATGTAAAATAATAATAATAATAAATAAATAAACTGAGCCCCAGGTAAGTAGGGAAAATTAGCGCTGAGTGCTAGGTAAGAAGGGCACTCACTTATAACAGATAAGTGACTTGGGTGAGCGTCAGGTAAGCTGAGCAAGTAAGCGCTAGGTAAGTAAGGCAAATGACCGCCAGGTAAGTTGGGCAAGTAAGCGCCAGGTAAGTAGGACAAGTGAACCCCAGGTAACTAAAGCAATTAAGCGCCACGTAAGTAGAGCAAATAAGCGCCAGGTAAGTAAGGGAAATAAGCACCAGGTAGTAAGGGAAGTGATCGACAAACAAGTAAAACGTGGGCAACAGGGAGGTAGGGCATGTAAGCGTTATGTGAGATAATTAACTGAGCCTGAAATAATTAGGGCAAATTAGCTATGCAAGTAGAGCAAAATAGCACCAGGTGAGCTTTAGGTAAACAATGTAAGTGCCAGATAAGGAAGGTGAGCGCTAGGTAAGTAGGACATGTATGTACCCGGTAAGGTAAGTGAGCGCCAGCTAAGTAGGGGAAGTGAGTGCCAGGTAAGTAGGGCAAGTGAGCGCCAGGTAAGTAGGGCAAGTGAGGGCCAGGTAAGTAGGGCAAGTGAGGGCCAGGTAAGTAGGGCAAGTGAGTGCCAGGTAAGTAGGGCAAGTGAACTCCAGGTAAGTAGTGCAATTAGGGTACAGGAGGTAGGGTAGGGTAGCGTTCTTTAAAGAAAATTAGGAGCTCCAGGTAAATAAGGCAAATTAGCGCCAAAGTGATGCTAGGTAAGTGAGTTAGGTGGACGTCATGTAAGTTGGGCAAGTAAGCGCAACTATGTAAGGTAAATGAGCGCAGGAAGTTGGGCAAGCGAAGGCGCCAGGTAAGAAGTAAATGATCGTTAGGTAAGTTGTGCACGTAATCCAAGGTAAGTAGACAAATGAGCGCAGGTAAAAGTGCCGTTAAGGCAAGTAAGCAACCGGGTAAGCAGGCAAATGAACGCCAGGTAAG